GACTTTCTCCAACAGGACTCTCGACAGGACTCCTGCAAGAATTTTTTTGGGACTCCTCATGACTCCATGTTGGACTTTTCACTTTAGAAAGTTCCTGCGAGAGTCATCAGGACTCCTTACGATTGCTGCTGGAGTTTTTCATAAACTTGGGACTCCCGTTGGAGTTTTGCCGGGAGTCTCGACTAGGGTAGCCGACGGACATACGACCATATAGAATTATAGATTCTTCCTTAAACAACTATGTTCAAGAAAAAAAAAATTCGAAGTTATTCTAAGTGTGAGAATATACACACTTGTATTTACACAAGAGTGTAAAACAAAACGATGATTCAGGAATTTCCAAGATTTTAGTACAAGAAGTCAAGAGATTACAAGGTGTTCAAGATCTTGACTTCTTGAAACTTCTTGAGTTCTTACATTTTCTTGCCAAGATCGTGAATCAAGATCTTACTGAAAAAGTTCAAGAATTTCAGATCTTGATTACAAGAAGTTTCACTACGGATAACTCGACTAAGTCTGATTTCTAACACAGAGTGTTAACCTCAGTACTTGAATTTACCTAAACTGTTTGGTTTGTTTCTCTTGTTAGCATTAAATTTGAATGTTCATATATGGCCGGTTATACAAATCTCAATCGTTTAAGTTTGATTCAATTAGAAACTGAAGAGCGTAAATATCGTGCTCATTTAAAAAAAGTAGCCGAAATGAAACGCCATAGTTCTATCGATAATAAACCACTAGTAAAATATCCACATTTGAAAATAAGTAATAAATTTCATACTGCTCAAAGACTACGTGAAATCGAACAAGAAAATCGATCAATATCACAAAAACTTGTTGAAATAACGAGAACAAAATCAAAAAATAGGAGTAATCAGCAAATGACCATGAAGATTCCACTAATAAATAGAAGAACAAATTTTTCGATCAATAGTACACCTTTCAATGGCATAGATAGCAATGCGAAAATTACTGAACGTTTAACAAAAACGAAAGGCATTTATAACGTTAAAAAATGGAATGACGAATATGAACTACACAAATCGTATTTAAAAATATCGAAAAATAATAAATTATTTACGCCGATAGGCATCGGCTCTAATTATCGCCCGGTCAAAACAGCCACATCAAAAACGTCGACATCATTCACAATGCTAGTCGTCTAGGTATTAACAATGTCGTCACATCGAATCTTAGAAAATCCTGTTGAAAACGTATGAAAAAGATCAAGATATTTCAGTTTTAATAATGTAACGATGTACCCATTTGATAAATTAATTAAAAAATAAAATAAATAAATTAAATTTAGTATCTCATGCCGTGGAGAATGAATGTGAAAATATGACTTGTGAAAAAATACACTTTACTCAAGATTAACGATTTTATTTTAACATGGCAAAAGCTTTCTTTATTTTATTTCCTATGTTTGCATTTTGAAAGTTGAACGACTTGAAATAGCGTTTTCCACTATTTAAAACGTAATAAAATGTTTCATGGTTTTTCAACGTTTCGTAATGAAATACCAGACAACTCATGCTTTGCGGCATGCCAGTGATGAATTGTGATAAAAATCAACATTGAACTACACTTTTACTTAATAATCGGTAGTAAATATATCTAAAGATTGATGTGATGATCTTTTTTTAATCGATTGAAATATTGCGCACAGCGCTTTTGAGTAGACGCTGCTCACAATAGATTGTCTTTTTAATTAAGACATAAGATTATCTCACACTATTCAATGCCTCAAGACGGACACTTTTGCACTGGTTGGCTCGCCTAAAAAACGAATAAGTTTCATCCATATAAAGATCTTAAGACTAATTTTCATTTGCTCAGATTGACAAATAAGAAAAGGGAGAGGGACATTGTTCTGTTTTTCGTGCTTCTTTTCTTGTATATATAAATAAATATATTCTAATATATGTGTTTAACTATATATTAACTTTTTTTTATAGTATGAAATAAGCAATAGGTTGGAAAATACAAGAATTGAGATCGGAGAGGAAAAAACGCCTTAAGTGAGGTTCGAACACTTGATTCTGTAAATTTTTCACAGAAAGTGACATGGAAATGATGTAACAGAATTTCCCCGGAGAGTATTTTAAGGAAGTCTTGAGGGACTCTTTTTGAAGATTATCAATTAGGACTTTCAGCATTCCAATGTATTCTCAGTACTCTTCATTAAATGCCAAGCGTGAGGATAATTTGAATGTTTAACATTGAGAATTTATTTACAGCATCCGGATTGGAATCTACATTAGGTAATTGTCGGTACCAGTACTTGCGTGGTACCGGTACCAGCCATTGGAACCGTACAGAAGCTTTTTTCATTATCTAAATATATTTTTGAACTTACAAGAAGCCTTTTCCTCCTTAAATCGCGAAGGCTCTCGTTCCTTAATTTTTTTCGTAGGTACCAAATTTTTGGGTACTTTCCCTGGTACCGAACTGAAAGTACCGAACGATTCGATACCTAACAGGGTATCGAACCGAAATTTTTGGTACTGCGCGAAAACAGTACCGGTACCGAAGTACCGACAATTACCTAATCTAATCTACATCACAAGATTGAGCGCTTAAACAATGGTCAAAAGCGTTGTAGCTGAACCCTGAGCATAAAACTATAGTTCAAAACTTCAGTGCACAGTCGAACTTTCTCTTTTATCGGTGGCGACTGATTAAATTTTATCCATCACAGTTAGGAATCTCTTTTTCTTCACCTTTTAGAAGCGCATTATGCAGCGACATTTTCTACAGTTAGTTGTAGTATTCTAATTTTATTATATTTTACATGTAATAAAGTTAGCAGCGTTTCCAATGATTCATTGGTAGATCAAACAGGAATAAAAATGAGTTTACATTTTGAAAAATTGATATCATCCATTGAAAGAAAATAAGTTTTCTAGCAGTAAAGGAGAATAGTGCAGAGTTAGAGTACTTCCGCTATCCATATATTCTGTGATTTTAAGCGAAGCCTGTGTGAAACTAACAGTTCATCTTGGAAAAATGGTCTTTAATAGGATTTTAAATAAGGCAGATTCTTTTAGATACTTTCACAGCTTATTTTCCTCTTTCTCACGTAGTTAATAACAGTTTCAGTTTTTAATTGTAACTTTAACACATGTGGTAGAAAAACGTTTTTCTCATGAACATTTTCGCGCATGTTGTCTGTTAGAAAGGATTTTTTCTTGCTTCAAAATATTTAAGGCTCTGTTTTCTGATATATATCGTTCATTTACTTTTGACCATTTGCTCTACTTTTAATATTATAATAGCAAACTTAGTTTAGATTCTATACCTTGTCTCAGGTATTACGTACCAAAAACTTAGCACTTTTTTCCATATTTCATGATGTATGGTATTTATTGATGGGAAGAAGGGAGTAAAATAAAACCTTGTACGGAAAACCATCTGTTTTTGATTTTTTAATTTAGGAACCAAACACTTTCTAAGCGATAGAGAATGTTAGATATGTTTTGTGTTAAATCGAATCTGAGCTCTGTTTAAAACTCTTAGATTTTTCGTCCTCGACTTTGAAGGATTGTAAGACACACGCTTTCTATATTTGAAGTTTTATCTATGTTGAGCATGTGTGTCTTTGTCTATTATCGAACGTAATTGGTTTCGTATCATGTTTTCTAGTAGAAGCTGATTGAAATGAATTAGAGACTGATGATAGAGACTTATTAAGATCTAATGATTACAATTATAGGTGAAAATTTACAAAAAAAAGAAATCAATATTTTCTGTAGCATCGAGATTTTTCTATTGCCTATGTTGACACGAGTAGTGTTATCTGATAAAATTTTCATTCGAATGAGCGCCACTTTAAACGACAAACTTTGAACAATTATTCACAATTATCGAGTATTGTGTTTGTATTGTTGTCCATCTATCGTGACTAGTTACACATTTTTATTATTATGATAACATCATATGGAAGATAAAATAGTAATAACAATTAAATTTACCACACTTCAAGATATATCTAGAGACAGCACAAAAGAAATGAAACTGAGCCATCATTTCTATTACAATTACAGATATTTATGAAAATTAGTAAATTAGATCCATATAAAAGAGCGAAAAGAAAATTATATTCTCTACTAAAATGTTTTTTAAAAAGTTTCTCACTCAGCGATTTGCTAGTAAAACAGACTCCAATTCGTACATCAGTTTGCTGAGTCTTCCCTAATGAAAAAAAATGATACCTAACCGATTTTCATTACCAATAGGAATTGTCTACTTCAGCTTGTTTTATGGTTATGCTTGTCAATTGAATAACAGTTCAGAAAACAAAAATTTCTTCGTATTTGTACAAAAGATAATTTCTTTTTGAATTAAAAATTAGTTACATCATTCTACTGATGATGATGAATGTATTTTGTCAACAAATTCCCTTCAGAAAGAAAATTCAATTTATTTATTATTTGACTAGTATTATTTTTAGCAGTCAATAACTGCTCCACCTAGATTAACATATATGTGTGTGTATGTGTATGTGTATGCATGCTCTATACTTAATTGATCTTCAGAATGAGTATTTTTACATAACAGAATATAAAAATAAAAAAAGGGATCGGTTTGTCGTTTTCTCTTACTCTCTACCACAAAAACACAATAGACAGGAAGTCTCCCTTTTTATTTTATTTTTTATCCTTAGTAAACATGTGTACTTTATTGAAAGTTAAAAAGTTTCTCTTTCTGACTTTGTAAAGTTCATAGCAACAAATGTATATGTATATATGTAATGAAACTATCATAAGCACGTGTATATTAAATAAAATTATGTAATAAAATTTAAATTTTGAATAAATACAAACACAATCTTATATGATCTTAATTTTTAGAATATACAAATTATGACAGATAAAAAATCACAGATTCTTGGACTATTCATTTAGAACAAAAAAAAAGTCTTCCTTATTTCTCTTTGTTTATATCCTATTGTCACCAATGTCAATTCTTACTTCTCTTCTTACTTTTCTTTTTTTTTACTGTTTGTCCTCGTGTCCCTCTTTCGAAAAAAAAAGGAAATTTTGTGTACAATATACTCATGTATTAGAGACATACATACAGGTATATATACATTTAATGCTCAACAAAAAAAGAAAGATTATTCAAATAGTGGTGGACACACGCACAATACAAGAGAAATATAAGAAAGAAAACTGATATTATTACTTTGTCACATTAACTATCATCTTCTTTTCCTCATTCATAAAGATGGATCTCGTACTTTATATTTCTAACTCACCATTACCACTTGTATCTAATCTAACTCTCAAAATAAAAGCGATTGTATTTGAACGATTTTCCGTTATAGTATCGCTATGAGAACAAAATCACTTACTTTCGTTTCGTTAAACTTTTCTTTTTTTTTTATTGTTCTCTCTTTACCATATGAACAGTGAAATGAAGAATAAGAAAGAAGAAAAAAAGTGAAAGAAATCAGATTGTAATACACATTACTCTCTCTATGTGTAGAATATTAGTAGCGGTAATACTTTGATTCGATACAAACGTTTTGAACAAAAAAATGGATTAGAATATGTACAACTAGTTATACTGTTATTAGTATTATTATTATTATTATTATTATTATTACTCTTATTATTTCTTAAGAAAGAAACAAAAAAACATGACAGCAGCAACAGCTGCAGCACTTAGAAATAACGATCGATACAATAGTCATAGACTGAGCTTTTTTACGCCATGTGATTTAATGCAAAGATCATTGGGTAAGTCAGCCTATTATTTTTGCTCTCCTTTTTCAAAAAAAAAGAAGAAATCAGAGAATTGCTGTTTTGTTGTCTGCTGTTGTATTTGTTTGAGAAATTATCTTACAGATGTAATGAATGATTGGAGTAAAACTTTTACTTTCTTTAAAAAATATACGAAAGTTGTCTAAATACTTGGTGAGAATTGGACAATGAACTCCGATTAAATAATTCGTTCGCACTTTTTGACACAAATCGAAAAGAAAATTGATAAAAGTTTAAAGTTAAATAATTTCATAAGTTTTTTCACCTTTGAAATACTTTTTTGTGACCATGAAAATTAATGAAAAACCTTAGAGATACCGACATTTATCATAATAAAAGTCAAGCTGTACAGGATTGTAGGAAATTTGTTGAAACGTCTGTTGTGTAAAAGTTGTTGTTAATTCGTTATAACCATTGGCGCCATCCAAAAGACATTGATATAATTAGGTTTATAGATCATCAGTCTAAATGACAAATTGTTTCTTAATGTAAGACAATTGAAATAAAAACAAATTTTAATAAGACAAATTTTGCATTTCAGCTCTGAAACTATAATAAAAGTATCTTCAAATGTAAAGAGTTAATACTAATGAGATAGAAAAACTTAATTGTTAGGTACTTTTTTGCTATCCATTTCCTAGAATTTTGTTTCTTTTCTTTTTTTTCTTCGTAGAACTGATGAATATTACGACATTTTTTTCTTCTTCTTATCTTTACGGATTATTTATATTATGAAAGAAGGTAAAAAGGCTTCTTGTTGTGTATATCGTACAAGTGCCATATTGTATAAAAGTGAACGCAATAAGATATACGTTCATTACAAAATATATGTCAGATGAAAGAAGGTAAAAAGAAAGAAAGAAAGAAAGAAAGAAAGAAAAATGATGAATGGTGAATATCGTACTAATATACGATAGATATGTGTGTACACTTGAATACGCCTTTTTTGTTTTGTACATGTTAAATATAGTATTCATCGTAGATATAACGATTTAAAATATTCAAATTATGGAATTTAATAACAGTTCCGAACAAAAGAAAAATATTATAGTTAACTTTTCTTTCTTTTTTCAAAATATGTGATGAGAAAACGATAATTGAAAAAAGAAAAAAATTGGGAGACTCATTGATGAATAATTTTTTTTCTCATAGTGTCATTTTATTTGTATATTACATACAATTATTTTTTTAAATTGAAATAAATGTCGTATTTGTTTTGACATAAATGTATGATAATAATCTCATTTTTAAGATATTTTTTCGTTTATATTTGTCTTTGACAAAGATCATAAAAATATGTTCTAATTACATCTATCTAAAAATGAACGAGAAGTAATATTAATGTTGATCAGTTGAAAAAAAAAATGATATATCATATGATATAAAAATAAGAGTAATAAAACATATCGTTTGGCGTTATTTGAATGAAAGATCAAGTGTGATTTCTAAAATGAATAGGATCAAAAATTTAGTTGAAATTAGTATAATAGTAAACACTGTTGTTGTTGTTTTTTATCCGCATATATAGTAGAATTAGGCGTTCGAATTTCTCTCATTTTCACTTATTTTGAAGTAGCATCTTCTTTCTTAAAAGAGAAAAGTCTGAAATAGTTCTTCTTCTTTCTTTTTTTTTGTTTTTTCATATTGACTTTTACATGACACATGAAACCATCATCATATATATATATTTTTCTTTTTTCTTGCTTATTCGTTTCTAGATGATGATGATGATGATATAATCATATGTGTATACATACTCTGCTCTGTATATCAGTACAACGGGTGATTTTATTTGTTTAGAAAACTTTATTTTTTTTTTGTTTTTTTTTTTGTTNTAAATTTTTGATCCTATTCATTTTAGAAATCACACTTGATCTTTCATTCAAATAACGCCAAACGATATGTTTTATTACTCTTATTTTTTTTTTCTTTTTTTTTTTCTTTTTTAATTCTTCTACTGTATGTCGTCTTCGTTTTCATCATTTTTTCTTCTTAGTCTAAGTTATGCGTCATAAACGTACAACAATCGATAATAATACAATATCTTCATTAGCAAAAGTATCAACAATAAAATTAATAAAACCAGTTACATTATTAAGACGATTAACAAATCACAAAAAAGGTAATTATTAAATAAAAATTTGATTTTCATTTGTATTATACAATGACCAAATAAAAATGTTCAATTCTAGAAAATATAAATGGGACAATCTTATACTATTGAATTTTATAGTAAAAGTAAATTGATATTGTCTAGGTTAATGTTGTTTTGTAAAAATGTAGTCATTTTTTGTTATGCTTTTATTCAATTATTATTTGCCTTTTGTTCACTTAAATTTCGTTTATTAATTGTTCAAAATGCTTGCACACCTTGGGTAGAAGTGGCACATAGTTCTTTTTTCAAAAGAATGAATATTCAATACAAATATTTTACAAAAGTTTTTTTTTCTTTTTATCAGTTTCAAGAGTAAAAATCTCTTCAAACGTTCACTTATTTTTGCAAGTCATTTTGTATTTGTATTCTATTGAAAAAAAAAACTGATAGTGCTCATTGTGGCATTTTTTAAATGTTTGCATCACTCAAATATTTTTTATATGTAGACAAATGCAAATCATCGTTTTATAAAAAATTTTTGAAAACAAAAAAATATCTATAAATTGACGTTAAGTAAAAAGGATTTACGTTATATTTGTTTGTACTCTCAATATTGAAATCAATTTTCTTGATGTCCTTGACGCTGACGTAAAGCACAATCATCATAGTAGAATAATGATTGATTCAAAGGATTCATTATTTAAAATTGCACCATGATAGGTTTTCCTTACAATTCAAAATATCAAACTCTCATCAGTCCTTGGTTTATTTATTCTAAATTTTTATATTCTTCTTAAAATTCTAATTGAGTTAGAGAAGTAGCTCGTACTTCAGATAAGTACCCATAGTCTTTGGTACTAGTGTTACAATAAAAAAATAAAATACAGAAAAATAGATAAAAGAAAATAAATATGAACGAAGTCATTATTTAATTAAATGTGCACTCGTTTAAACAAAATGTTGAATACAAAATACTGTTAAGTAAACATCAAATTTCTCTCTCTCAATTTAAATATCAACATTTCGTTATTTACCATTATTTTTGAAAACCATATTTAGATGATATTTGTTCTTGTTCTTGTTAGTCGTCTTTTGTTGTCTAGTGAACGCAAACATTTGTTTTTTTTCTTCGCATTTTTTTTTTTTGATTAAAATATTTACAAATTTATGTGACAAAAACATTTAAAAAATGCCGCATTATCGACTAGTTTTCATTCTTTTTTGAAAAGAAGATACATTAAATCCAATGTGCCATATTGTCGTTAAGTGTCTAAAATTATCAAAAAAAAAAAAAGAAATTTTGCTAAAGCTAGAATAATCTTTTATTCATTTGTTTTGTACCATAGTAGAGAAAGCTTTGTAGGTTTCTTCTGAAGAATGTGCTGACCAATAGTTTAAAAGAATCGTATTACTTTTATTATTGCTTGTGCTTCAATTTCTCTATTGTTTTGTGTTCATTATTACTGTTTAAATAAGAATTGCCAAAATAAGTCTGCAGATATAATTTGATAGACAATCATAATAGAATTGACCTTTCTGTGATTTTGAGATTTTTCTGTTTTTTTTTTCTTCATCTAAAGGTTATCTAGATGAATGTTCAGTGTTTTGAGAGTATGTTTCTTATCTCTTATTTGAATCAAAACAAAGAATTTATTAAACTATCTAATATTCATTTAGACACGTTTCATTGTTTATCTTTCATAATATACTTAACTTATTTTTTTTTTACTATTTATTGCAAGAAAAATAATAATACATTTCATCTGTTTAACAACAGAAGTAGAACAGAAAACTTCTTTTTTTTCCGATTTTTTTTTTGCTCTGATTTCTTGTAAAAATGAAACAATTTGATTAGTTAGTTGATTTGAGAATACCTTTTTTCCTTCTTCTCTCTGACTTGGTCTAATAAGGGTATGAGTTTATGTAAATTATTGACATGACAATTATACCTTTTCTTTTCATAGAACATGTCTGCTGTATAAACATATCATTATGTCTTTTTGATTCTAAGGCACATACACACCCATTTATTTAAGTGGTAGTGATATTGAGAGAAGAACAAAAAACAAGAAATATTTTTACTATTATATTGGCTAGAGTCCACTCTTTTGTCTGGTATAATTACACTCTTCTAACTTATGTTAGAAATAAATAGAAAAAAAAAGACCTGAAGAAAATTCTTTTTTTTTGAAGACACTCGAACGACATATATAACAAGAACTTTGTTGTCTCTCATCTCACGTGTATATAGAGCAGGATATACAATACTCTAACTAGCATATTTCATCTTTTGTATGAACTAGGTAACATCATTGTTGACATAATGATGAATGAAAACATTGAAACTATTGTTTTGATTGCTGTAGAAATATTTATTTCTAGTACCGTTGTGTATCGTGAAGATCTAGCATGTCCACTGTTCACATGCTCAAAATTATTTTATTATTGCTAAAAAAATTTTTATCCATCTATCAAATATTCCTCTTTTTATATCATCAACACAATTATAGTTGAAGTTTTTCTCCTTTATTTTAATGTTTGCATCTTATTTGAGCATATTCATTAAATATGCAATTTTTTTTTTTGTTTTTGTTTCAATGTTTTCTAATTTTTAATTTTATCTTGAAGTTCAAAGAAAAAGCAAAACGGGAAGAAAAATCTAATTTTTTCTTCTTCTTCTCTTTCTGATAACAAAGAGAATGAGAAAAAAACTGTCAAAAAGTTGAGGTTTGTCGTTGGTATGTTTGTAAAAAAGACGTCTAACAGCTGTTCTACGATCTAGCACGAACTTTAAAGTGACATTCTTTGTCTTAAAGAAATTTTAAAATTAAAATAGTCATTGATCTTTTTTTATGTGATAACTATTTGTCAAAGTTAGTAATATCTATTTGTTTACTCATCAATCGTTGTTTTTTTAAAATTTTTTATCTAAAATTTTGTCTATTTTGTATTTTAATTAGACGAAACAAAATTAAAACGTATACCTGAATGTCGATTATCATCGTCTTCACAAATCCCATTATTGACAACCACACAACAAAACTCAATTTTTCCAACATCCTCATCCCATTCTATTATTTTATCGACACCGTCTTTATCAACAGTTAGACAACGTAAAATGACATCCTATTCAGCATTAAAACGAAAAGCGCAACGACAAACAGATTTACAAACAACATCAAGAGTAAGTTCTATAATATATTGAAAAAAAAAATGTACAATACGATAAATTCTTTTCTTTTTTCTCTTTTAATTTCTTTTCTTGACTTTAGTTTCAAGTAAATCTTGAACATGTACTAGGATTTACATCAATTTCAAATTCACTTGTGAGTCAAGATCGAACAACATTAGCCTATGCTGCTGGGTAAATAGAAAATCTTTTCTTTAACTCGAGTATGTACAATATGTTTCTTTATTTTTCTTTTATTATTTTAGTTCAACTGTTGTTCTTTATAATATAACTAGTCAAAAACAAGATTTTATAATTAATAATGCACGAAAAGCGATAACATCTTTGTCGTTATCACCAGATGGAAAATTTCTTGTCACTGGAGAAGTGCGTTGACATATTTTTTGTTTTCCACTAGCTTTTTTTTCTTGTTAATATATCATTGTCAGAGGATAAAATTGTTCTTGATTAAAATAGTAAAATGTCGAATATTAGTTCATAATAGAAAATTTATAGACATAGTAGACAGTAGGTCTTCTATGATAATTCTTGTCGATTATAAAGTTTTATTAATTCATTTCTTTCACTCTTCTTAATTTTAATTCTTGTTTCTAGTGTGGTCATGAGCCAAAAGTTCGTGTATGGGATGTTCATGATAAATCACAATGTGTTGAATTGGGTGACCATAAATTTGCTATTGATTGTGTGGTATGTACAACAGATCGATTATTTTCTATTCTTCTTGTTTGAATATCATTTCTTTTTATCATTTTTATTAACTTCAGAGTTTTTGTCCAAATGTTGAACGTCTTGTGTCTATTGGTTCATTACATGATGGTTCAATTTATGTTTGGGGATGGAGAGAAAAAAAGAAATTAGCATCAAATAAATGTACATGTGCCGTATGTATTCTAAATCTGTTTTATTCTCATTTTTTTATCTTTGTATGTTATTATTTTGTCATACAAAATTTAGGTTCGTCGAATAGCGTTTGCTGAAGATGGAAGTTATTTTGTGACAGTTGGAAATCGTCATGTTAAATTTTGGTATTTATCAGCACCATCTGTACGTATTTTTAAAAATATATTATAAAATAATTTATAAATATTTTTATTTAATTTTTCTTTAGGTTGAAGTAATACCATTAAAAGGACGTCTAGCAATATTAGCTGAACGAAAAGATAATATGTTTACGGATGTTGTATGTGGAAGAGGTGATTGTGCAAATATGACATATACAATTACACATAATGGTTTAGTATCACAATTTAATGAACATCGACAAATGTGTGCGGAAAAAGATTTAAAGGTAATAAATCGATTTAAAATTAATCAAGAATGATTGATTGTACACTCAAAAAAAAAAGAAAGGTTTAATAAGTAAGTAGTAATTCTACAATAGAATTAATTTTAATTTTATCTCAATTTTAATTTATCTATACTATTTGTGTATTCTATTGAAATTACAAAAAAAAACCATGTATTTATTCATTTTATTTAGGAAAAAGCAAATTGTCTCGCTATTGGTGATGTTTATTTAATTGTTGGATGTTCAAGTGGAAGTGTATTTATATTTTCACCACAAAATCTCGATTACATTACGTCATTACCAAGACCTCATTTTCTTGGTGTAGATATTGGATTTATACAATCACTTGAGTATGTATATTAGTAATTAAAAATTAGTACCAGTTTTCTTTATTTTTTTGCTTTTTAGTCAACTAATTTGTCCACAACATACACAATATTTTCCCGATACAATTGCTCTATGTTTGGATGAAGATAATGCTATTGTAAGTAGACAGATTATGTTTAGTATAGTTCAAATATATCAATTGATTTTATTATATAAATTAACTTTTATTTTCATTTAATGTTTTAGGTGACATGTTTCTATAGTGATCATAGTTTCTATATTTGGGATATAGCCTGTGATCAATCAATTAAAAAACTTGATTCACATCTTTATCATTCTGCTTGTGGATGGAGTATTGAGGTTAGTAATGAAAGACTATTAATATTATTATTTGAATAATTGTTTTTTAATATTGTGTGTTTATTTTTTAGCCTTGTTCAATACAATCTCGAACATTTTTAGCATCACCTTTATTACAACATTTATCATTTGTTACATGTTCATCTGATAATTCTATTCGTTTTTGGTCATTAAATTCTTCAACATCAACACTATTACCTCAACCAACAAATATATTTAGTAGAGAATTAATGAAAATTATTTATCTTGATGATGATTATTCAAAATTATGTGATAATCAAACTAGTCAAGGTAATAAAACTAAAATTTATCAAGTTGTACAAATGAAACTATTTAATTTTTTTTGTTTAGAACGATCTGAATCGTCAATGAAAATTGGTGGACGATGTTTAAAAGTAAATCCAGATGGTTCATCATTAGCCATTGGTGATAGAAATGGAAATATACGGTAAATGATTTTTATTTATTTAATATTGTTTATTGATTTGTTCAAAAATAATAAAAATATTTATCACATTTATTTCAGAATATTTGATTTAATATTATTAAAACAACAATTTATTATTGAAGCACATGATAGTGAAGTATTAAGTATTGATTATAGTCGACCGGAAATGGGATTTTATTTTCTTGCATCAAGTAGTCGTGATCGTTTTGTTCATATATTTGATCCTGTAAAAGATTATCAACTTGTGGCCACATTAGATGATCATTCAGCAGCAATAACAGCTGTACGATTTTCATCTTTTACCTCTTCTTCAACAGTGGCTATGCAATTAATATCATGTTCAGCAGATAAATCTCTAATATTTCGAACAATTACAAAGGTAAATATACTAAAATCACATAAAATAGGGATTAAAAGAAAAAAAAAGAAGTATTTCTATGATTATTTTAGAATGAAAATGGAAAATATCAATTTATTCGTTCAAATAATATTGTAGAAAAGCAAACATTCTATGATATGGCCATTGATCAAAAACGAGATGAAGTCAGTACAGCATGTCAAGATAGAATGGTTAGGTAAGTATAATTCATTAATAAATGTTTTAGAATTATTGACTATGATCTGAAATTTTTCTTATTCATTTATTTTATAGAGTGTACAGTACACAGGATGGTAAACGTGTTCGAACATGTAAAGGTTCGATGGGTGATAGCGATACAGGATATTTAATTAAAATTGATCTTGATGCATCTGGTCGCTATGTAGCAACATCTTGTTCAAATAAATGCGTTTATATTTGGGATACAATGACCAATGAATGTGTAGCAAATCTTTGTGGACATTCAGAAATTGTTACAGATATTAAATTTAGTCAACATGGAAATTATTTATATACGATTAGTGGAGACAGGTATGTTTTATCTACAATTTATACTTCTTTTATTCTTTTTTGAATATTTTTTATTTTATCTTAATTTCAGTTGTATATTTGCATGGAATATCAGTGAATTAGCTATTGTTCCAACAACATTTAGAATACCTCAATTACCAACGCAATTAAAAAATAATGATACAGAAACGTATGGTTTGAATAAATTTTTAGAAAGAGATTAGAATTGATTCTTCTTTTTATTTAGATCGATAATCGAAGAAAAGATCAAATATACTCAAGTTATTACACAGGTAACAATAAAGAAAAAGAATAACATGTTGATTTGATCTGAAAATAAATTTATAAACGGTTTTTAGACGCCAGAAATTGTGAGTGATGAACATCAACCATTATTTAAACGTCAAAGAAGTCTATGGGCAACAGCGGAGCCACATTTATCGGTTAATGAAACATTTTTTTCCCATCTCTATTCGTATAGCTAATAATTTTGAATTTTTTTTAGCTATTGGATTCACAATTTACAAAAAAATTACAACCACATTTATCAGATATTATCACGGAAGAGTAAGTGTTGATCAGATGTTTTACAGGGTGTATTGTTTAGAAATTCTCTATCAAATGAATTTCTATCCTAAAATGACAATTGTGTACCACTATCCTTTCATAAGAAACGTTTACATAAAAGTTTTTGTTTAAATATTTACTTACTCTTTTTCCTCTATTTTAGACTATTTTAACATAATATTCTATCACTGTCTTCAAAATTTCCTCTTAGTTCGATTTTAGTGGTAATGGTCGTTTAAGTAATTTGGTCACAATAGTTCACTATCTGATTTGCATTCCTAATCCGATAACTATTTTGATACAAATAATAAAATTTTTGTGTAATTAGTGATACATCGTGGCAGATTGATAAAACTTAGTTAGAAGCGCTTGTTTATATTTTAAATACACAGTACTATTCGTAACATATTTGTACAATATCAAAGTGAAACTTGTAGATATCAGAGATCGAATCGGGTCTTGGGTGGATGATCCGAACCCGACCCGACCCGACTCGAAGACTTTTTTTACCCGAATCCGATCCGATCCAAATCAATATTTTCTATGTGGGTCCGAACCCGACTCGACCCGAAGGCTTTTTTACCCAACGCGAAATGATACGAAATTTTCGAACTTGACCCGAGCGACCCGAAAATTTTCTTAGGTGACTTAATAAATTTTTCTGGAAAAAGAGCAGAAACCTATAGCTTTTGTAATAGCCTAGAACGTTTCTCTGATTTTTTGTCCAAGTGGGTAGTTCGTTCGAATTGTGATCAGGAAATCTTTCTCGATCGTATATTGTCATGAAGTTTAATCATCATAATGCGACGCATATTTAAGGCGTTCGTTTTTCTGGATTTACTTATGTTTCCTTTTTTCTTTCTTTGCTTCAACAGTGCGATACTGTACAATGTACAGTGTACAGTACGCAGCGTCAAAGCAGGAAGGAAGAAACATTGTAACCACCCCCACTCCCCCAAAATAGAAGACCACTGCCGATTATATGACTTGAAAGCCAAATAGAACACCACTGGTCTTCTATTATGTCCGCGAAAAAAATCGGAAAATGCCCTATACCTTACGGGAATTCTCAAAAAAGTTTCGCCAAAACGTACTTCTAATAGAAGACGGACTTAAAGTACGTGATTTTACCGTTGGCCTACTAGCAGGCGACAAAATTTGACCGCAATAGAAGACCACACTTTAGAACTCGACTAGCGGGACAAAATAGAAGACCAGACGGTAATAATATAATATTTTGTCTCGCAAGTCGAGTTCTAAAGTGTGGTCTTCTATTGCGGTCAAATTTTGTCGCCTGCTAGTAGGCCAACGGTAAAATC